TTCCACCTTCCATTCCACCAACCTTTGCTATAGGCACACCACCAGGACCATGGGATGTCGGGCGCACACCAGTATGTGGTGTGCGGCATGCATCAACATGCTCTGTTCTCAATGCATGCTCCTCATGCCATGTCTTCCTGCCACCACTTGGTGCAGCGACTACCTTTCCAGTCGACTCAGAAGGTTGCATTGCACTCGAACCATCCTTCACATGCGCTGCCTTGCCACAATTTGTCAGTGCAGTGCCTGCCTTAGCATGTGCCTTAGCATCTGCCTCCAAGATACCACCCTTGCCGCACGCCGCTTGTTGCTCTGCAAGCCAGGCTGTCAGGTCTTGAACAGTGTCGATGTCCCTCAGGTATGGCAGCGAATCCAGTGGCTCCACATCAGCCACTCCGTTGGTGTGGAGAGCAGAGAGTGACTGCTGCAGCACCCTGTCTCTGCTCCACTCTATGCCCTGATGGGGCCCGGGGGAAGGGAGAGATGGGGAGGTTGCAGGCAGGCCAGTAACACTTTGGCTGGCAGGAACTGCGTGGGAGTAAACTGCATGGAGCACGTCTGGCATGGGAGCACACTTAACCAGGGTGCTGCAGCAACCTGTCTGTGCTCCACTCTATGCCCTGATGGGGTTGGGGGAAGGGAGAGAGGAGGGAAGGGAGAGAGAAGGGAGATAGCAGGCAGGCCAGTGTTGCTGGCAGGCGCTGTGTTGGTATGGAGTGCTGAGTGACTGCTGCAACACCCTGTGCGTGCTCCACTCTATGCCCTGATGGGGTTGGGTCATGGGGGAGAGGAGGGAAGGGAGATAGGAGGCAGGCCAGTGGCACCATGGCTGGCAGATACTGTGTTGGTCTGGAGAGCAGAGAGCGACTGCTGCAACACCCTGCCCGTGGGGTGAGTGTTGAAGAAGTGGGTGCGGTGGTGTGAGAGAAAGAAGGGGGGAGGGAGGATAACTGGGGAAAGAGTTGCTGGGAGAGACAGGAAGAACGAGAGCATGCAATTGAGAGGGATGCAGAAGAGAGATCGGATACTGACATCCACATGCATCCATAGAATGAGCACATTACACATGGCGACATACCCCTCATACATGGTGCCATGCCCCACATACATGGAAGGGGCATGGCAGCACTGTAGTGAGCCCAAGGAGGTAGCATCTGCCATCCAGACACATGCACGTAAGTGAAACCACACATGGGATGAGATGAGTACACTACGTGTGGTGGCATGCCTCTCAAATACATACATGGAAGAGGCATGGCAGCACTGCAGTGAGCCCAAGGAGGTAGTATCCGCCATCCAGGGCCGGGCCAAACACCACCTGCCAGAAAAGCCAACGAGGTTGCAACGAACAAGTTGTCATTCCAATCAGCCCAGTGCTTTTCCCGGGATGAACTGAGTTCTTTTCTTTCTTTATTTGTGCCTTTCTTTGTTTGAGATGAATTTTCATCTTAAAAGCGATCCTGGTCTTCAAACACAAGCATCTGCTTTCCTGTCTCTCACACTCATTCCCTCCATCTGCATCACATCCCGCATCCAGCCCTGCATGATCGTAAACCTCCAGTCCTCCACTCACCCGGTGGTGCCTGAGAGCAGAGAGATCAGCAGCCATTGTGACCCCATCCATGTCAGGGATATCCGATCCCATCATCACCTTACCTCTGTAAGCCAATCCCTTCCACGCACCTGGTGGTGCGTAAAGGCCAACCCGAATTACTCAACGCTAGTCAACTCGAGACAGCGTAGGTTCGGAGGTAGAGGGGACGAAAGGTTCAGAACTTTCGCGAAGGCTCTGGTTCGTGAAACCCACCCACGAATACAAATGGCGTCGCAACAAAACTGATGTGGGGCAGCCCTCGCGGGACACCACGGCAACGCTATTGCCAAATTGCCAACCCACCTGTCAAACTGTCATCACTTTGCTATGCGGGGTAGTCACTCGACTGTGAGTCATAAGTACGACGCCTAGATCAACCTTCACCAACTACTTGGTACCACACATAGAGGAACTGTCAGAGGATTACGACGACGCCATCGAATTCGATACAAGCGCAAGGTAAACGCGCCCTGCGCGTTATGGGGCGTAAGAGAGCAATGTGATAACGGTAGGAATGTCTCACGCGATAAGCCTGAAATGAAGGACAACGGTAGGACATGGCGCTCGCATATATAACAGGACACGGGATGTTGACAGAACAGTGGGAGCGACACTAGAAAAAAAAGCGGGGAAACGGGAGTGGTGTGCGACGGGAAAAAAAGGCGCCGTATACATGCCCTTGCTCGAAATCCCCTTTCCCGCCGGAATTAGGCGATTTTGTCGCGCCGATCTGCCTCCCCTCGTCGCCCAAGGCGGCGTGGCTTCGCCGCCTCACGCTGCGTCCTCACGCCACTGTGAATACGACGCGCGGTGCCTCAAAGTGCAGAATAGCGGGCCGCACTCGCGCAATCGCAGTTGTCGCTACCCCTTCCCGCTGCCCGATTCCCCTTTCCCACCGCCCGATTCCCCTTTCCCGCCGCCCGATTTCCCTTTCCCGCCGCCCAATTCCCCTTTCCCGCCGCCCGATTCCCCTTTCCCGCCCCTGATTCCCCTTTCCTAACGCACGATTCCCCTTTCCTGCCGCCCAGTACTCATTTCCCGTCGCCCTATTCCCCTTCCCGCCGCCCATTCTCCCCTTCCCATGTCCCATTCTTCCCTCCCTTACCCTCCCTTCCCTCCCTTCTCTCCCTTCCCTCCCTTACCCTCCCTTCCCTCCCTTCTCTCCCTTCCCTCCCTTCCCTCCCTTCTCTCCCTTTTCTCCTTTCTCTCCCTTCCCTCCCTTCCCTCCCTTCTCTCCCTTCCCTCCCTTCTCTCCCTTCCCTCCCTTCTCTCCCTTCCCTCCCTTCCCTCCCTTCCCTCCCTCCCCTGCAGTTTCCCCTGCAGTTTCAACCCTTGCTCCCTGCAGTTTCCCCCTGCTCCCTTCAGTTACCCCCCTGCTCTTTTCATTTCCTCCCCCACTCTCCTCAGTTCCCCCCCTGCACCATGCAGTTTCCCCCATGCACCCTGCAGTTTCCCCCCTGCACCCTGCAGTTTCCCCCCTGCACCCTGCAGTTTCCCCCCTGCACCCTGCAGTTTCCCCCCTGCACCCTGCAGTTTCCCCCCTGCACCCTGCAGTTTCCCCCCTGCACCCTGCAGTTTCCCCCCTGCACGCTGCAGTTTCCCCCCTGCACCCTGCAGTTTCCCCCCTGCACCCTGCAGTTTCCCCCCAGCACCCTGCAGTTTCCCCCCTGCACCCTGCATTTTCCCCCCTGCACCCTGCAGTTTCCTCCCTGCACCCTGCAGTTTCCCCCCTGCACCTAGCATCTCCTTGAATTCCTCACCTAGCTCCTGTGCGAGGGGCAGCAGCAGGCGTGTTGGTCTTGTGTGCGCGATACTGCTGATATTTTCACTCCCACCTGCACGCACGGCAAAGAGAGGAAACAGTAGGGCGAGAATATGGTGGGGAGAGGGGTAGAGGGTGTGGTGTGGGGAGGGGAAGGACAAGAAGGTCCATGAAAGGAGGGGAAATTGAGGGGAGCTGATGTGGCAAAGTAAGGAGTAAGAGGAGTGAGACGGGGGAAGCGCGTGAGTGAGGGATGAAAAGTTGAAGGGGGGGAGAGGTGAGGGATGTAACAGCAAAGTTGGAGGGCACTTCCAGTCTCTCTTTAAACCTCTACTCTACTGCTCCTGCTTGCCGCTTCCTGCTTTCCACCTTGCACTCAGAGCCAACCCATCCCCCTACCCCCTCTCCCACCTCTCCCCTCATCTTCACCCACCCTTGCCTTTCGCGCACCCCCCCTCCTCACCCCTTTCCGCTCTAACCCCCCGCTCTCTAATTTACCCCCACAAGGCGGACGATGATGAGGCGTACGGCGGCTGGAGTGGTGCGTGGCGGAGAAGTGGGAGGCGGAGATGCGAATGATAAGCAGGCGTGTGGGGGCGACGCGTCGAGGCGCGCGGAGAGGCGGATGGCGGAGGTTTATACTCCGGCTCTCCCGCTGTGTCTCTTCACCTATGTGAGAACAATTTGCGCAATCAAAGTAACATTTTCTTTTAGGGAATTGGAATTCGCGCAGGGGAGTTTTTTATTAGGTTACAAGATGTTGCGGGGAAACAGAAGATAGTAGACCCGCTCGGTACGGCATACGGCGGACAGAATAGGGCGCTTCGGCGCGCGTAGTTGTGCGTGGTTCCCCGCACTGCGGAACGGAGCGCAAGGAGACCGGTATCAAGCGCTGTAAGCCGAGGCGGTGGGATGGTAGCGCGGGGGAGGGGGAGATGAAGAGGCGCGGAGGCGCGAGGGTTGTCACTACGGACGGCGCGCAGAGCAGCGGAGATGTCCCGCGGAATATTTCGTGCGTGCAGCTATGGCATGGGATCCCGAAACCCGAATTTGAAGCAAGTAGAATGCCAAAATGACTGGTGTTTTCGAAGGCATGCTGCGGGACTCTTTCTGGGCTTGTCGAAAGTCGCACAAGCCAAGGTGGGGTAACCAAGGTTTAAGGTTTAAGGTTTTATTGAGGTCGTAACCTGTTTACAAACATGCAAGCAGCTAGAGAAGGAAACAAGCTAGAGCTTGGCTCCCGCCAGGGGAGCACGTGGAGACACGTCATCCTCCCACCACGAAGGGTGGAGGCACCCGAGAAAGGATGCAAATCTAGCTGACATGTAGCGAAGTAGTTGGTTAAGGTGGGCGGAAAGGATCGGTGAGCAGCCATGTGGCCTTGAAGTCGGGGTGTAGTGCTGGACAGTTGGGTTCCGGGAAGATGAAAAGCCGGTGTTGGGTGGCTAGTTTGACTCGGTGAGCTGCTCGAGCTCTCTTCTTTTTTGAACCGTTGGATGCACGCCAGAGCAGGATTTTGAAGGCGAGTAGGAAGAGGTGTAGAACGGTTTGCAGTGCTTCAAATGAGTTGTGTGGGGTTTGTCTGTATTTGTGGCTCCAGCGAGAGTTCCAGATGACTTTCGCTGCCGCACCGACCAATAGGCTTCAGGGAGCGACCCGGCCCGCAGCTGAGGTCATAGGGAAGAGGGTCAACGCCGCTGGAGTGGAAATTCCCATGTGAAGGCGGGCGGTCCGTTGAAGCGCCGCGGTGATGGGTTGGGCAACACCGCATTCGAAAAAGAGGTGAGGCAGGTCTTCAATGACTCCTCTGTTGCACCCCCCGCAGATGCCCTTATCGGCAGTGTAAAGGAATCGTGAACCAGAGGGCAGCGCACGAGCGTAAAGCCGAAATAGCACGTCACGCTGCGAAGAGGGTTGTTCTGCTAGGAAGTCGTGCGTGTAGTCAGGAACGAGGCTGGGACCTGGGTCAGGAAGGATGTTAATCCATCGTTGCGCATGCGGAAGCGGCTGTTGCGTGTAAGCCAGGCTCCTGATCGTCGCTAGTGAAGGGGCGCCCTCGTGTAGAATCTCCAATCGCGCTGCTAGTCCCGCTCCTGAGCAAAAGGTACCGCAGAGCCACCGATCTGTCACGAGCACCTGCACCGTATCTCGAATGCGGAGGAGGCAACGAGCCTCAGCCGCCTTCGAGATTCTACCTACTGGGTCGATGGGGTAGGCGCTGGCCTGGAAGGAATCAGTTGAGATAATGGAGACGACTTCATAAGCGAGGCGAGGAAGGGAGTGCATATCTGCCGCCATTATCACCCAGTCGCCAGAGGACAGGGGCACGCGGCTGTGGGAGGAGGATAGGGCCGCCAACCATTCGTCCGGCATCGCCTCATAAATTTCGTGGAGGATACGGCGGCTGCAAGGGTAGTTGCGGGGGGGGTATTTGAGCAGGATTTCCTCCTTAGTCATCCGGCGGGCACCTGTGGCGTCGCGGCGCACAAGATGGCCAATACGGACTTCTTCCGTTAAGAGGAAGGCCTCGTCTTTGAGCCGTCCGAAGGGTCGCCCGTCCTCCTTGCAGAGGAGGGGGTTGAACGGGACAAGTTCGGCCAGGATGCACCAGAACTCGGGGCGGGGGGGCAGCACGTTAAGGGAGAGCGAGGTGAGACTCCGGACTTCTTGTCGTAGGCGGGTCGGGACGGCGTCAGGGAGAGCCGCGAGGAAGTCTTTGTGAAGCAGGAAGCCGTGGAGGCCGAAGGGGATGGGTACGAGCTCCCTTGCGACGGCTGCGTTGGGAAGGTGGGAGAAGCGACGCAGTGCACGCTGAGCGTTCAGCGCAAGTATTTGCGTGGTGGGACGGATTGCCCCGAGCCCGCCGTGCTCGACTCTGTTGTATATGGTGTTATGAGCGAGGAGCCGGTGAGTACGACCTTCCGCTTGGTATTTGGACGACGAGAGTAAGTTCCCAACGACTGCGTCGATGGCTTGAATGGAGGGGGTGGGGGGGGGGTTGAAATCTGCCAGGGAAGGTCAAGGCAGAGTTCAGAAAGATATTTGACAGGTTTTTCCGGCACGAGGAGGAAGCGTGTAAATTGGCAAGGAAGTTAGCGGTCTTTTTGATTTGTGTCTGGGTTCTTTCCCAAGTGACGTCGGAGCGGCCGGATTGACCGACGTAGATGCCCAGGATCCGCTCGAATTCAGACTCGCCGCGGATGGGAATGGCGCCGGCATATGTGATTGCCGAGGGGGGAATGTTGAATGGAATGAGGGCACATTTGGCCCGGTTCGGGTATTCGCCTGACACCGCGGCAAAGGAAAGGAGAACGTGAGAGGCCTTCTGGAGCTTTTTGTCAGAGTTAAGGAATATTGTCACGTCGTCTGCATAGCACGACATTAGCCGTCGTTGGGTGCAGGAGATGGGGAAGCTGGGAAGGAAGTGAGAAGCATAGCGATGGAAAACTTCGATAACACAAAGAAAGAGAAGGGGGGCAAGGGGACACCCTTGCCGTACACCTGAGCGGACAGGGATGGCCGGCCCACAGAAGTTGTTGACGGATATTTTTGTGGTCGTATTGGTATGCATAAGCCGAACCCAACGGAGGAACGGGGGAGGCAGACCGAGGGTTGCGAGGCAGGTGAGCATGAATTCTCGATCGACTAAATCATATGCTTTGCGAATGTCAACTGTCAGGGCAAGCAAAGGGAATTTTTGTGTGGTGGCCCAGTTGAAGATATCGAGAGTATCATTAAGCGTATCAACGATTTTCCTGGATTTGATAAACGCAGCTTGAGAGTGGTGAATGAGGGAAGGGAGTAAGGGTTGGAGGCAGGAGGCGAGGCAAATGGCAAGGATTTTATAGTCGGAATTCATTAAGGTGATCGGGCGGAGGTTATCAAGTACGGTGGAATCCCCTTTTTTGGGGATAAGCACCGTGCGACCCTGCAGCATCGTGGGGGGGAGGGCGGAGGAGGAGGCAAGGAACAGGGAGTGGATGGCTGGGGTGAAGCTGGTCTTGAAGGAGCGGAAGAGTTCCCCTGTCAGGCCGTCCGGCCCTGGAGTTTTACAGCGCGGGAGCTTGCTGATAGCAGAGGCGATTTCCTCCATAGAGAAGGGTAGCGCGAGTCGGGAGGAAGTGTGAGGGGGGAGCTGGGAGGGGGGGACATGCGACCAGAAATTCTCGTCGTATCGAACGAGGTGCGAGGCACTGTATAGGTCTTGGAAGAAGGTGGTGCATAAGGTGCTCATCGTGGGGAGGTCCGAGACGAGCTCGCCTGAGGGGGATTGAAGGGACGTGACCAGCGAGGCTTTGATACGAGAGTTAATCCCGACCAGCAATGAGGAGACTCCCATTTCGCGGGGGCCTTCGACTTTCAGCTTCGCTTTGAGGGCTATATCTGCGGCGCGAAAAGCCTCGTACTTGTCAAACTGTTGGGATGCAGCGCGCAGCTGCTCACCGAGGCCCTCGTCCGTGGGGTTGACTGCACGGGCAATCCGAATATGGCTGACCAGGTTTTGGAGATGTTCGGATGTTTTTTTTATCCGAATCTTTTCCTGGCGTCCGAAGGCTTTGAGCTGATTGCACAGAGCGAGTTTCCAGGCATCCCAGCTTTCACCATTCAAAACGGGTGGAAGAGCTTGGCAAGCCTTGGAGACGAGGTGAGCTGTGTGCGGGCGGCGTAGAAGAGAGTGAGGGAGCCGCCAGGGCCTGGGGGCAAGATTGGGGGACTCGCATTGGAGGATGCAAGAAGGGGATAAGTCGTGATCAGTGAGCTCCTTAGAGGCGGAAGCGTATTGCGCATCTATAATCCTGCTTTTAAGTGCCTCGGAGACGTGAAGCTGTAGGGGGGGAGTCTCCTTGCAGGGCGCGTGGCAGGGCGAACAAGGAAAACATGGGCTCGTTCGGGTAGACATGACGGAAGGAATCGACCAGTGAGTACTGCTGAAGAATAGAGGTTAAAATAGCGCCTTCCGAGGTTTCATGAGCCAAGGGGGGTCTATTCCTGTCCTCGGCCGAGCACACCGCGTTGAAATCGCCGGCCACGATTGTGCCGGCCACGGAGGAGGGATTATTAAGTGCAGCTAGGAACTAGGATCTCCACCAAGGACGCCGGAGGGCAGGGGTGGAGGGGGCATATAGGGCGATGAGCCGAAGTTGCTCGCCTAGGTAAATAAAGTGCAGGGAGAGTATCCGTCCGTCTGGGGAGCACTCTTGGGAGGAGATGGTGATTTGATTATGGAAAAAGAGGACCGCTATACCCCCGGGTTTGGATCGATTGATGAATGGGGAAGGACAATGTGCATATGAGGCTGGTTTGAGGGTCATAATGAGTTTTTTGAAGTTAAGGGTTAACCTAGTGTCTATGAGAACAAGGATGTCTGCTTTTGGGCCGCGTTTGGCGTGCCATCCACGAAGGTCATTGAGTTTCTTTTGCTTATTGATCCCATTCACATTGATGCACCTAATAGTGAGGGGGACTAACATTGTTCATCGATTAGGACCCCCACATGCGCCAGCATGTGCATCCACGGGGTAAACGGGGTAGTGCGAATCCTGGGGGAGAGTTGGAATGCGGCGTGTTTCATTAGAAGGAAAACATGTGTTACAGGGATGCATCGGAGAGTAGTCCTAGGAGCATAGAAGGAGAGGTAGTTAGGCCCTGGTTCGTCGGCAAGTCTGTCACCCGCAGGACGGTCTACTGCAGAATGATGCGGTGATGCTGCACCAGGCCCCGTATTTGTCCTTGCTGACATTCTGGTGCGCAGGGTCCTTCAGCCTGTTGCGGTGCTGATCGGAGTTGAGGTGAAACATCGCGCTGTCGAGAGCGATGCCGCACACGAAGTCACAGATCGAACACGCCCACACCTCCACGTCGAGGTCCAGGCTAATGAGGAGCAGGCCGGGGTCTTTCTTGAAAGCTGCCGTGGAAGCGTGCTGTCCAAGGAGCTTGCCTGGGGAGAGGGGGGGTGAAGGAGCAGGGAGAGTGGAAAGGGGGAAGCAGGGAAGGGGGGGTAACCAGACCAGAGCCGAAGGTAGCAGGGAGCAGACAAGTGCAGCGAGGGAAGGAACTATGGTTTGGTAGGGCCTTAGAACAAGAAAGGAAGGGCAACGCCAGCAAGGGCACGTGCGGGGGTTTGTTAGTACCGTTAACCGCCTGCAGCGCAGACATGGTGATGGATTGCCTGTTGGCGACCCGGTTGCGTCGGGTGATGGCGAAGCATGCGTGATCCTCAAGCCTGTGGTTGCTTGAGCACAGGGTGCACGCGTGGCATGATATGTTGAGGAAGGCGGGCTCCTCCTGGTCCGGGATCCAGAGGATAGCCGAGATGCGGTTAAAGGAAGGATCTCCTTCGGCCGCAACCGGGAGTCCAAGCATCTGCGAGTAAGCCGAGCCGTCATAAGGGTCCTTGAGCCGGTGAAAATGCAGGAGATCCGCAAGCCACGGCAAATCATCATCGGTTTTGCCGCTGAGCAGAGAGGCGCGCAGTTCTTCGGGCTGGACACCAAGCGGCACGTTCCGCACCACCATGTACGTGTCGCCACGAGCCTTTGCAGCCGAGAATTCAGGGTATGGGTCCACGTAAATCTTAACCTCGATTGGGCGGCTGTTGTTCAACCGCACAAGGAAAGGAACCGCAAACAGCCCGCGGAAGATGCGTGCGTCAGCAGCGGAGGTCCAGGAGTAGATGTGCCGAAAATACGTCCTGCGCGGCAAGAGCAGCGGCTCACCCGTAGCCGCGTCAAACTGCGGGACAGCACGGTTGAAGGCAGCAGAGCCGGGGAGCGCAGCGGCGATCCGGGAGAGGATACTCTCCCGAACCTCCTCAGAGCACTCCCGAAACATCACCGCAACCAGTAGCAGCGGGTCGCGCGTCAGGGACCGGAGCTCGGTACCCACGGAGGGGCGGTGACGGCGGAGGTTGCGGTATCGCACCGACAGGGAGAGGTTGGCGGCAGTTCCGGCTGAAGGCTGTTCAACCGCGGCTTCCTGGACAGGAGGCTGCGGCCGAGAGGGCGGAGCAGACCTCGGCCTTGGTGGGGCCGACGGACGAGACGACGAGGGGGCCGTGGCCGCGGAGCTACCGGAAGAGTTAGAGCGCTGCATCGGCTGCGGCACCAGCGGCGCAGCAGCAGGAGCGCTAGCCCCAGCAGCACCAGAGGAGGTCCCTTCGCCACACTGCTTCTTAGCAGCAGGCTCTTCGTTAAGTTCCGGCGGAACGCCGTCGGGGAGATCTTCGAGGACGTAATCGCCGAGGTCGGTGATCGTTTCCTCCCCAGCAGCAAGCTGCTCGTCAGTCATGACAGTGTCTGGGTTGTGATGAGAGTCCATGGTGGCGAGGGATGGTAATGGAATCAGAGGCGGGAGGCGTAAATAACACCGCCATTCCAACAACGGGGCCGGGCCAGAAGCAGGAGCATTATTGAGGCGACACGGCACACAGCCGAGACGTGAAAGGAGGTGAGCGAGGGTAAGGAAGGTGGGCTGGGCGCTTCGGCAATGGCCTAAGCAGCCCGTCAATAGTGACTGTTTGCCAGATCGGCAGTACAAGTCAAGAACGCATACACATCGGGAGTTTGAGAGACCCGCGTAAGGTCCAGCAAGGTGGTCTCGTAGCTTACACCAGCGGGAGGAATATCGACGAGGGCACCAGCTCAGGAGCGACGCAGAAGGCTTGCATGGAAGCAAGCAGCACAAGGCAGCCCTACAGCACCGGCAAGGCTGCGCAGAGGAAGGAAGGCTCCGAAAGATGGGGAAGGCCTTGGAAGCAGGAAGGTCGAAGAGAAAAAACCAGTAGGGAATACTGCCTGAAATTACGGAACCACACGTTGTGTCAGACCCAATCACGTCCAGCAGAGCACTTACCTGGTCCGTAGACCTAGGAGCAAGATCCACGTAGCAAAAACTTCCTGAAAACCAGCAGCCAAACACCTCGTTAGACAGCGATTGGTTATACTCACCTTCCTGAAGAACGTCGCGGGTAGCCTGCCGAAAAGAGGAGGCGGATACAGTAAGGCGATCTTCAGTTGGATAAGGAGAGAATGAGCGAGTACAAACGAGGGCGAAGAGCAGTAGGGAAGCGGAGAGCTTCATGACGGAGAAGTTTTTGATGCGTAAAGTGACTGATCGTGGGGTAACCAAGGAGGTGCGGAACCCTGGAACCCTCAACGTGGTTCGGCAAAAAAGGTGCGGGTGGCACAGTGTCACCAGTTTGCTTATGAACTTGTAATTCGAGATTCGGGTTTTAAGAAACACCTCGACATTGTTGATACAGTGAATGTTATGTTTCTCAGCTGATTACAAAATCCACTATGTACAGTTTAATGTGAACCTCGATACTGTGTATGGATTGTGTTCCTCGCTTAGGGTTGTTCAACCTTCTGCGCATTCCGCACAATGTAACGAAATGCATTTCGAGTTTGTTAAAGCTGCGGTCTACATTCTAAAAGGGATTTTCTGGGGGTAATCTAAGTGCACACCTTTTGGCGCAAACTGATTTGAGAGCGAGTAAGGACGCGTCCCCTGAACGCCGATCCTGCGATCGATCGTCGAAAATCGATCCTCCACCGCACTAAAACTTTGCACAACGCTTAAAAAACCTCTAGAAGCTTTTTAAACCACGCAAAAAATCGATCCTTCGTAGGATCGATCTCTAGATCGGCGCTGAGGGGACGCGTCCTAAGGTTCATCCTCAAACACGTGTGAGGAATTCGAACACCCAGAGCGATGGCAAACAATTTCGTGAGCTAGTTTGCTTGGGAGAAGTAATCCGCGGAAATGCGGAAATGCGGAATCCTGCTAGCTGCAGGCAGCGCAGCAGAATTCTGCACGCCACCGCGCCCACTGCCGCGAAATTCGCCTGGAGCGCGTAGTGTAGAGTTTTTTTCACGCAGCCACGCTGATAGCCGCGATTCCAGGTAGCAGCATGTAGCGTAACGTCTGTTTCACGCCACCCCGCTCACAGCCGCAATTCTGGCCAGTTGCGCGTAGCGTAGCGTCTTCTTCATGCCACCACGCTAAGCCGCGATTCCCACTTGCGGCGTCTGTTTCGCGCCACCACGCTAAGAGCCGCGATTCCCGCAAGTAGCATCACTCGTACCGTCTGTTTCACGCCAACCCGCTCAAACTCGCAATTCTCGCCATGTGCGCGTGGCGTAGCGCCTTTTCCACGCCACCACACTCGCATCCGCGATCCCTGCTAGGAGAGGACAGAGTAGCAGCCATTCCAGGTCGCACCTCCATTTTCCCCCATGTCGCATATCCCCTTACCCGTAGGTCGCACCTCCCTTTCCCACCAGGTCGCACCTCCGTTTCCCCCCAGATCGCGTATCCCCTTACCCGCAGGTCGCACCTCCATTTCCCCCCAAGTCGCACCTCCCTTTCCCCCCAGGTCGCACCTCCCTTTTCCCCCAGGTCGCACCTCCCTTTTCCCCCAGGTCGCATCTCCTCCCGTCCCTCAACCCCATCTTCCCATCCCCCCCAAACCCTCATTCAGCTCATTCTATCTCCTCCCTTCCCTCTCCCCCTTCTTTCCCTCATGTCTCTCCCTCCTTCCCCCCATTTCCCCCCTCCATGCCGTCATTCCCATCCCTCCTTCCCCTCATTTCACCCTTTTCTTCCCCATTTCCCCACTACTTTCTTCAGAAAGTGAGGTGGCAGTAGCGTGGGTGCGAGGGGCAGAGGCGCGGCGAGTGCGGGTTTAGGGAGGGAAGTGCATCTCGCACTAACTGCGCTCACACAAACCTGCGCATTCCTCCTCATCCCCTCAATCCCCTTCTCCTCTGCCCATTCCTAGCACACCTGAATTGCACACCTCCCTCATGCTCCCTCATCTTCCCTCCCCCCTGTCCTCCTCCCTCCCCCCTGTCCTCCTCCCTCCCCCCTGTCCTCCTCCCTCCCCCCTGTCCTCCTCCCTCCCCCCTGTCCTCCTCCCTCCCCCCTGTCCTCCTCCCTCCCCCCTGTCCTCCTCCCTCCCCCCTGTCCTCCTCCCTCCCCCCTGTCCTCCTCCCTCCCCCCTGTCCTCCTCCCTCCCCCCTGTCCTCCTCCCTCCCCCCTGTCCTCCTCCCTCCCCCTGTCCTCCTCCCTCCCCCCTGTCCTCCTCCCTCCCCGCTGTCCTCCTCCCTCCCCGCTGTCCTCCTCCCTCCCCCCTGTCCTCCTCCCTCCCCCCTGTCCTCCTCCCTCCCCCCTGTCCTCCTCCCTCCCCCCTGTCCTCCTCCCTCCCCCCTGTCCTCCTCCCTCCCCCCTGTCCTCCTCCCTCCCCCCTGTCCTCCTCCCTCCCCCCTGTCCTCCTCCCTCCCCCCTGTCCTCCTCCCTCCCCCCTGTCCTCCTCCCTCCCCCCTGTCCTCCTCCCTCCCCCCTGTCCTCCTCCCTCCCCCCTGTCCTCCTCCCTCCCCCCTGTCCTCCTCCCTCCCCCCTGTCCTCCTCCCTCCCCCCTGTCCTCCTCCCTCCCCCTGTCCTCCTCCCTCCCCCCTGTCCTCCTCCCTCCCCCCTGTCCTCCTCCCTCCCCCCTGTCCTTCTCTCTCCCCGCTGTCCTCCTCCCTCCCCCCTGTCCTCCTCCCTCCCCCCTGTCCTCCTCCCTCCCCCTTGTCCTCCTCCCTCCCCGCCGCTGGCAGGACTTGGGTCGGTTGTTGCACCTTGACCTTGAGAACCATGTTTGCCCCCTCTCTCATCCCTTCCAGGGTGCCGCTCTCCTCTTTCCCCCAGGTCATACCCCCCTTTCCTTCCATGTCGCACCTCCCTTCCCCCCAAATCGCACCTCCCTTCCCCCCAGGGTGTGGGGGCGTCCTCACTTAGACCGACCTACCACGGTAAGGTTTCCCCCAGGCGCCGCCGCTAACTTCTTCTCCGCCTTCCTCCCCAACCTCCTCCACCTCCTCCTTTCCCCCCATCCCATCAGCTACCAGTTACTGAGCGAGATGGGAGCACTGGAAGTGGGCGAGGACCGTGACTTTGCAGGGCGGGGAAGCGGAGACGGAGCGGAGCAGTGGCTCCGTGCAGAGGTAGTTGTAGCCTCCTTGCGCCTTCTCTCTCCCCCCAGGTCGCATCTCCCTTTCCCCCCAGGTCGCACCTTCCTTTCCCGCCAGGTCGCACCTCCCTTTCCCCCGAGGGCGCACCTCCCCGGACTCTCCTTCACAGCGCACCTTCTCTCCCTTCCCTTCCTTTCCCCTCCGATCCCTTCCTTTCACTTTGCTTCCGAAACCCGTGGCAGCAGCACGTTTGCGAGAGGCAGAGGCGTGGCGGGTGTGGGTAATGGGAGGGAAGTGCTTCTCGCACTCAACTGCGCTCACACGAACCCGCGCAATCCTCCTCATCCCTCCAATCCCCTTCTCCTCTGCTCGTCCCTAGGACACCTGACTTGCACATCTGCCTCATGCCCCCCCAACCTTCTTCCTCACTCCCCCTTCCGTTTCCCCTTCTTTCTCCCTCCGGGTGCCCTTTTTCTCCCTTTATTTCTTTGCCTCTCCTTCTTTCCCACTCATTTCCCACTCCTATCCCCCTGCTGCACCTGGCAGTGCTGCGGAGGTGATTTCCTTTCGCCCTGCCATTGCCCTGCCACTCTCCTCTTTTCGCTGCGTGCTGGGCTGAGTGTGCCATGCAGGCGGCAGCAGGGCAGCGGGCTGCCATGCAGGGTTTAGGAAGTGGGCGGGGATGCAGGCAGGCTTTGGCTCTCCACTCGCCCTGCCTCCACACGTTCTGCTCATCCGCCCCTGCTTCCTACCTGCTTGGGCCTCTGAGTTGCTGATGCTGCAGGGGTGACTGCAGGAGCACGAGCACAGCATGGCCTCTCACCACCACTCAACTTGAGCTACATTAGTCACGTGTGTGCGGAGGCCACAATAAGATTGGAGGAAAAGGCTGTTTTGTACCTTGCGCAATATACCGTATTATATGAGTAGTTATTGTTCCCCACACCCACTAGTGCTGCAACAGGAGGAGACCATTACAATTGACCACACATATCGTAATATATGTCATCATTATTGGATATATAAAACCCCAAATTGATTGGAAACTTTGCGATATACGTGCAATTCGAGGTTATGATACAACAAAGACCCACACCACACTATCCTCCATAATCTAACCAACTTGTCTGCTTGATCGCTTCATCCATGACGAGCTGCACCACAGAAGGGAGAGGGAAGGAGGGGAGACTCACGGTGACAGTACATGCATTCACATACCATGCCAGAACTGATGACAAATTAGGACTGTATGCTGCGATGAGATGGGTACCGTAGGCGGGCTTGCTGCTAGTAGACTGAGGGGCAGGAAGACAATGTGGTGAGAAGGTGAGGAGGCGAGAAGGCGAAGAGGCAGAAAATGGAGAG